TTGTTGATCAACAATAATTGCATCCATATTTCTTCCAAGAATAATTGACACAGGAACTATATATTTACGCTGAGTAGGCGAAAATAAATCAATAAGACGTCCATGTACACCAGAAAATACTCGTTTTAAACTTTCCAAAGATTCTTTCATTTTTTGCTCACGTTCTGATTCCCTTTGATCCACACTTGCAACAGTCAATTTGTTAAGAATATCTTGTAATTCTCGATTATATTGAGATTCTTTTTGGCTAATAAATTATATAAGATTTTTGATTTTTAAAACCAAAAAAAAAAACAAAGTGTATATATATTATATTCTTCATATTACCTAATAGAAACCTTTTCGGTTATTACTGCATTAAGCTCTCTTTTAGTAGAATCAAGATCTTTATTTAATTTTGAAACATATGTTGATACCTATTTAAAAAATTTTTTTTGTTAATAAATTTTGTATTCATTTTATTTATTTATTTATTTTTAAAATTAAGACCTTGTCTTTGTTGTCTGTCAATGTAATTTTTTCTTCTTCTAATTGTTTACTTCGTCTCTCTAAATCTTCCATCTTTTCTTTAAGGCGATGGGTATATTCACGACAAGTTTTTTCTTGCCTACGAACATTTTCTAGTTGTTGTTTTTCATTAACAGTTCTTCTGTTAGCTTCTTCTCTCCTACATTATTTATTTGTATAGAGAATGAACAAATGTATCAATATAATTGCCATTATTAAAAGATATTAAAATAAAACAAATTAGATGAAGTAAAACAGTTTTTTTTTAACTTTTTTTTGTATTCTGCAATCTCCACCGGATTGAGCATTGCATTTTTCTTTTCATTGCTGCCTTCAGCTCTTAAAGAATCTAATTTTTTTAAGGATAAAAATCATTAGTATTTTTTATTGTTTATTAAAGTCCCACAAATAATAAATTATTTAAGAGTCTATTTACTTTCAAATCTTTCAGCTGCCCTAGTAACTTGTTCTAAATCAGCTTCTAACTCTTCAACACTTTTTTTCTAAGAATAAATAAAAATATATATGATTTTAAATGAATAAATATAACCTCTCTCTTCCACCCCCCAAAAGAAGTTAATATTGATGTACCTGTCTATAATAATCCTTTTTAACTCTTTCAGAGTTTTGTTCAAAGTTACTTAACTTTCTCCTTAAATGAGCTATTTGTTCCTCCAAGGTTAATAGGATAGGACGCTTTTTTTTTTTTAGAAAGAATATTATTATCAAGAATTAAAAAAGGTTTATATAATATATACACATATTGTTAAAATTTTCAATACTTTTTCTTCTAGCTCTCCCTCCTTTGACTTGATAGATCTATCCATAGTAAAATGTTCTTTATGGATTTGAGCTTGTTCCATTTTAGACTTTTGCAGTTCATCATCATATTTTTTCTAATCAAATACATTTTAAGTTAAAAGTTTGATTTTTTCATTCAGAAAAAAAAAAGGATATATATACATATATATATATAAAAGATTAAAACCTTTTCTTTCTCTTTTTCCCAAATGCCTTCGTTATTCTTTGATATATCATCTCTAAGACCATTAATATTTTCTTCAATATGAAATAATTTCCATAAAAGATATTCAACTAAAATTTGTGCCTTTAATAATAATTATAAAAAATTAATTTAATAACTAAAATACTATAGATTATGTATATGTATATATAGAGGTCAATCAATCAATCAAAAGAATCTTTATATGTTTTCATTCAAAACCTTCTCATCTTGTAACTTTTCAAATTGTTGTGCTTGTGCCTTTTGTCTTTGATACTCTTGAATTTCTGAATTGATGCCACGTTTCTTATTAAAATTAAAAGCAGAATTTTCTGTTGCACGCTCTTGTTGAATCTTTAATTGCTCATAATCGTCCTTTAATTCCAATGAGCTTTGATAATAATAGTTGTAAGTTGTAGTTGTAGAAAGAATAATAATGACGATGGTATTATTATTATTATTATTATTATTAAGATCAATAAAACATAAATTTGAATATTATAATTATAATTATAAATATTACGTGCTAATCTGTTCAATTAATCTAGTTAAATCTTTGGGAGATTGAGATGCAATAGCTTCTACATCACCCTAAAGAAAATCAAATATATATATATTAAACATATTGAATCCTCCCTTTAAATCAAATAAAAATGAAAAACAGTCAACATACCTGAAAAACCAAAAAATTTCTAGCTTTTACTAATATGTTTTGTTGTACTAATGTAGAATTATATTTGGTGTATGCAACTACTTTATTATTAATTTTATATTCACTAATTCCAGATGATGTGATTCTAAAAATTGAATTCATTAATTAAATGAGTGAAAATAATAAAAAGATAAAAAAGATCAAATTCCTCACATTCTTGTAAATTTTATCTCATTGTTATCATCATCTTTATATACAGCCATTACCCAAGCCCTTCTAGGATTATTTGTACGTCCTTCGATAGCCATACCCTCTACTGGCTCATCATCATCGTACATTGCACGGCCTTTATAGATAAGCTCTCTAAGCTGTGATGAACGTAGTTGTGTAGATTTAATACCCAAAACAAATGAAATGGCATCCATAAGATTCGATTTACCTAAAAATTAATATAAAAGGAATTAAAGTAATTTACAAGGTCAAAGTTATCTATAATTTTTATAAACTTTCTAGATAGATGTTTTTTATAATTAAAAAATACACGTAAGTTTTAGCATTAGATCGTTAATTACCAGCACCATTTGGTCCAATCACTGAAGTGAAATTATAAAAAGGACCGATTGTTTGGTGTCCTTTATAGGATTTAAAATTTTCCAATTCTAAACGATCAAGTCTGCCCATTTTTGATCTATATATTACAAATTTTCTGTTTATTATTATTCACGTCTTAAATGGACGAACTGTTCGTGTTACATAGATTTCCAATCAGATTTCGAGGTACAAACCAGATTTTTGATGTAACGTACAACTAATTTTCTAAATTTGGTAAACACCCTGACGGTTTTTTTTTTAAATTTTAATATTAATTAATATATACATAATAATAGAGCTAAACTATACAGTATAAAAATCTTATGTTACTATGAAACACGATTATAATTAGTAATTTGATTTTAAATGAAAATTTCAAATATGTCCAGCCACTCCATTGAAAAATGAGGGTTATACTGTACATATGAAAAGCCTATAATATTTTACATCTTCTCACCACACACTCATCAAGTTTGTAAGGGTAATATCTTAATTTTAAAGTGAAAAGTAATGTTGTGTTTGAGTGACTATAGCTTACATAGAGAGTCTTTTCCAATATGAAAGAGGAGGACTCATTAGAAAGCTTTGATGGCACAGTTTTATTTTATATTAATAATAATGTTTGAATTTGTTATAAAGTTAATGGTGTAAATTTTTTATTGATCGACAACTGATGTGACAAATCTAACATCGTCATAGTTGTGTAAAAATTGAATAATGTGAATACCTTTTTCATTCTCTGGTGATATGGCCACCCTTTTTTTAAAGAGTACTTTCGAATCATAGTGTTTACAGTCACATTCAATAGGATTTTTCCAGCTCTGTTTAAGACAAACATTATATCAAGTCAAATTTGGAGGAACAAATTCTCTCATCACACCTTCTCAATGCCAATCTTGATTGGTGCTGATATTACACATTCTGGTCCCGGAGAGAATCTACCAAGGCATCTATAACAGTATTAAGTGGTTCAATGGATGAATGCTAAGGCATCAAGATAGTTAGCATTCAAACTCTTGTGACTGGAATGATTGCAGGCTTGGCAGGGATGGTGAAAGAATCTTTTATCATGCTTGTGGGAGAAGACTTGAATGAATTCTTTATTATTGCAATGGTGTCTCTGATGGGGAATCTATTCCAGTACTTGAAAACAAATGAAAGGCAGTTGGAGATGCAATTTAATAATATCATTGTCATCATATCATTGTTATTAATAAAAAAATTGATTGTATGACAATCACTTGACCCAAGACATATAAACCAACTGTTACATTACATAATGTACAATTTTTCCTGGTTGATAAAAAAGATGCAGATCAAACAGGCAATTGTTTACTGGGAACAACAGATGAATATGATTTTATTTGCAAGGCCAAGGGACTTGTAGCATAGGATGAAACCGATCTACTTCAAACCTTATTGCATAATCTATGTCATATTTATGTTTGATGTACTAGATCGCAGTATTGTTGGTTCCACAGCTTATTATACTTGCTTAGTTCAACAGAGAGACACTTTCATGGTTTATCATTTCTTCTTCTAGCAAGAAATCTGATACAGTTCCAATTATGGGAATTATCAAACTCAGATTACAAAGGGTTATGTATTTTATCAAAATTTTATTTATTTTGAATAATAATTAAAATATTGTTTATAATAATAATAATTTGTTGATATGAATTACAAATTCAATTCTTTTTAATAATTTTAATCTATCAATTCTATTATCAATTTTTTTTTCAACTCATTCATCAATTACTCCAACTAATTCATTTTCCATTCTTTGTGAAGCAAAAAATGATCAACATCTGTCAATTCTTTCACTGTCCAGTTCTTATTTTCTAATAATTTATTCTTTGTAAACACTAGTAAATTGATCAGAATAACCATAAACAAATGAAACTTTGGGCCCAACAGGTGCTGATGGTGGTGGTGGTGGTGGTGATAAAGTAATCAAAGATTTAATATATTGATTGTAAATTGATTTAAAAAAAAAGGTAAAAACCAAATAACTGATAATGGATAACCTATGAATGCATAGGAAATAGGCAATGTTGTTGATGACGTCAATAAAGATTACACCGAAGAAAATATTAAAGAACCATAACTATACCCCTAAATAAAACAAATGCATAATTAAGTTTTTTCCTTTGAAATTACTAATAATAAAAGAAATTTTACAATTATTGTTAGCTCAGAAATTTTTGGTATAGACATAATACTTTTTATTTCCAAGTTTTCCTGAATTCAATAAAAATTCAACAATTGTTTTGTAATCATAACATTCTGGCTTACCAGACCAGCTTGTTCTACAGCTGATTTTCCAGAACCTCTATAGAAATTTACTTTATTGAGAATTTTTTTAATTATTTTTTTTTAAATTTACCTGAAATTAAAAGCAATGGTAAGATATCCTTTTTCAAGAAAGAACTCTTCAACAGTTCTTACAACATTGTTGTGAAAATCTCCTCTTTTTATTTTGATCAATTGAGAACATTAATTTTAAATGATTGGATAGTTGCTATATTTGTCATATTTTGTAATACAAACCTAAAGGTCCATATGAATGTGAAATAGTGACACCTTTAATGGTCTGTGAATTTTGTCAATGTTATTATTATTATCATCATAATTGGTATCAGGTTTCCAATAAGATAATCATATTTCTAAGTTTTATTATCATATAAAGAAGGTAAAAATGCATTTTTCACAATCAATTGTTTGTTCATTTTTTTTTTTATTATTATAGAAAAAATCAAAATTGCTACCTATGGTGTTGAAAATTCAATGCTTTAATTTAAATCTATTTAAACCAACAATTGGAAAAATATTGTATACTTACTAAATTTGTACTAGTTCCGTGCGTCGGAAATTCTATTCATATTCAATAATTATAGGAAGAAAACAAAAAAATCGGCAAGGAATTTAAAAATTATAATAAAGGCAAAGGAAAATATGGAAACCTAGATGTGAGGAAGTAGTAAGTTGGGAATCTGAATTAGGGATTATGAGGGAAGAAAAATCAATCCTAATATTAACTAGAAGGGAGAAATTATTTTAGTCCAATAATACTATTTACCTTGTGAACCCATTGATAAAAACAAATATTTTTTGAGATTGCTGATTATTCATCAATTATCCAATTAATCGGATGTTGAAATTTTAATTTTGCCAATTGGTTAACCAAAGAATTGGTGAATAATCAGCAACTGTTAAAACAAATGCAAACTTAACATCCTAACTCTGCAAAGAATCATCACTTTAAATAAATTTAAGCAACAAGTTCAGTGCCTTGTTAAAAAAAGCAATAATTGTGAAGCTTTGATAAAGAGCCACATTTTATTTGCTTTAGTGAGGTTAGGACTAATATTTGTTAACTAGTGAGTGATAACAACAGTTAGCAAAGTAGCATCAGGAAAACCAGTAATAAATATCCTATACAATTGTAGGGGGTAATACTTCTTGGAGTATTATAGATTATATGACTTTGTCCAATAAACAATAGAATCATTATGTCTACCACTAGATGTATCATTAAAATTTTCTTGATTTATTTGTGATCTGGAGTAACTAAATTTTTTGAATTTGTAATTGATGAATTCAATTGTTCAGTCAGTAAAATTATACATAAAAATAAAATTTGCAAATAACCAATTACAGTAAGGTAGGTGTCTTTTAATTTATTCAAAAGATCATCAATTTACTTACATGGGTCATGCTGCAACAAAACCAGACAAAGTGAACATCGGCATTACCAGAATTTCAGGTATCAAAATTTATTAATGTGATTCCCATTTGCTAACTTCTTAATGTTAAGTGATGTATAGAACTATCTCTATATGGGACATGCTGCAACAAAACCAGTCAAAGTGAACATTGGTATTACCAAGGATTTCAGGGATCAATAGTGTTTGTTTGACATCACAATTGTATTACCTGTGTATTTGTCTAGACAAAAATAGTTAATATGAAACTCATTTACACCATTAGAAGTATTTTGAAGAAAGAACAAGGTGAGAAAATTGCACCTTACATTTTCAAAATTTCAGGATTCTTCCATCCCTATATGTGATTTTTCATTATAGAGAGTGTTTACTAAGATTATAGAGAGATTTTACTTAGTATTCATTATAGAGAGCGAACTGTATATTAATTTATTGTATTGTGAACTGTGAAGTTTGGGGTGTATCACAGATATCTAAAAATAGTTAAAATAATAATACAAAATCTGTATACCGCAACTTCTGGTGGGATTGTTACCAATACACTTTATTTTTCTTTAAACAAAGTCACTAACACTAGCCTCATTGGACTCTAACCAACCAAAATATAATATTCGTCAACACTGTCCAACCAAAATACTCAAGTATACTTATAAATTCCTCGAAGTAGTCTTTCAACTTCCTTTAAAACCAGCATCTATATATTATTCTCTCAAAGAATATCCACTAGTGTTCAAGATAATAGTTATTCCTAGGAGTATCCCTCATCGGATCAATAATAATTAATAGAAGATAGTGAAGAGTTTTGGTTTATAAAATGATTAGTGTTTTCAATAAGTAAGAAGATACCCATGGGGGTTATATTGCCAAAATAGTAGTAACTTTATTATTTTGATTATAATATTGTTATTACAAGCATTAGAAGTTATTATTTTCAAAGGAGTATGTGTGAGAACATGATGAGAAGAGGACTTCGACTTCCTCTCTCTTAAATACTTTTTAATATTAAAGTGATACAAATTCGTAAGCAGCTTTGCTTACATGGCTCTTCACCAAGAACGAATTTTAATTCTAAGAATGAATTGAATTCGTTACTTCCCTATTCTAGCTATTTATATATATATATAATGATAAATATGGATAAATTGAACATGTTACTTCCTGAAGTAAAGTTAAATAATAAATAATTGGAAAAATGTTTGTAGTAAAAAAAATAATAAATATTTTGCTAATATATACTAAATATAGAAATTTAATTAAAATTGATTAAAATAGAAGTGATTTATGAATTATTGCCATATATAGAAGGGAAGTGGTTTTTATCGCCAGTCCACAGTATGTATGTATATTTTAAACACCCATACAATAACTAGTACATAACATATCTTGGATCAGTCACAATTATACATGCAGAACAAATTGATTTGCTGATGTCAAAAGTCAAAATTATCCCAATTTTGAAGGTCAAAAGTCAAAATTAATTATGGCATTTACTATTAAAAACATAAATGTAACACCCCTTTACGACATGTGTAACCCCCTTTACAACAGTGTCAAAATACTTTGGGCTGCATGTATAGTCACAATATTCACTTTTTTATTCATTGTTAATTATTCTGATAAATAGTAAATAATTTGCAAGAATTTAAATATTTTAGGTACAAATAAAATAACAACTTTTGCACTAAACAACATTATAAAAAACATTATAAATTTCAAGTGTTTGTTATTATAAAAATGTGTAAAACTATCCACAAAGGAAGGATCAACATCCTAATATTTTTTTAAAAATATATTTGTCATGTTCCATCCTAATTGGTTTTCCACAGTTTACCTCATGATGCCAAGGAACGGAGTTGTTTATAAAATAAGGATAAAAAACTTTTCCATTTAACCCACTCCAAACGAAGTCTACAATTCTCATTTGCCTCATATCAATTGAAACCAAGATACTTGATGCTTGTAGGTTACCATGTACAAAGTCTCTATCATGCAAGATTTTAATAGTCTCTTCTGCTTTCTTGAACAATACTTTTCGATCTAGCTTAAGATCATGCATGGCAGTGTAAATATCAACATATTCTGTCAGGTATTCCATAACAACCATAGACCAGCCAGGTATTTTATTATATGCATAGAATTTAGGTGCTATTCCTTGATCCACACAATAAATATGAGCATCTATACCATATCTTTTAACAAATTTCACTAATATTAATTTACCAAAAAAAGCTCCAGACAATCCTTTCACTAAAAACAATAGTTTTTCATTATGTAGCTGTTTCATATAAGAAAAAGTAAAACTTGTTTCTCCTATCATGAACTGACAAATTTGTGGAAAGTTTTCAGGCCGCAAGAGAGCATTGTTCTCAATACATCGAATTTGTTCATAACATGTCAGATAATAATTCTTTAATTCTTTGATCCCAACTTTCAATGCCAGTAAGGCATGAGTTAATGATTCCATTGCACTTAAGTCATTCTTCATAAATAAAAGTGGGAACATTGGCGTGAGAGGTTCCATTGTGAATTCCTTGCCTAAAACAGCTCCACCAATGCCAAGATAAGGACCTGCAAGATAGAGAAGGAAAGCGGGGTTAAGACCTTGACATATTACATTATTTCTGTTCAAAGCAACTTGTTTTGCATAAGATGCGCAAGCCTGCACATATGCACATCCGCCTCCTTCCCCAATCTCATTTTTTATTTCACCGATAAGGAGTACAAATGATAATTGTCCAATGATAACAACAGAGCCTATATCAGCTTCTTGATGGTCAGCAGGAAATGGTAGTTTGTCAACAGGTTCATTAAAATAATTTGACAGCCACAAGTTGAACTCTGATTTTCTTTCTTTTTCATACTTAAAAACTTTTTCCATCAATTTAACTAATTCTATGACTGATCTACAATCATCTTTTGTAATTTTAAGTTCATGACAATTTGCTTGAAAAGTTGCAAACACTCTATGGTATAATGTAATTGGAGTGCTTGAATGTGGTCTGTGATTGTAAATAAAAGGTTCTTGAACCTTCAACATTTCTTTTGGTTTACAGAACAATGATGGTGTTTTCATTTTTGAGATACGCTTGATTTTTTGCTCCATTTCTTCATAAGTATTTTTGTCTGCTAGAACTAGTAGAAGAGTTAGTAATATTGTAAAACCATACATAATACAGACAGATAATTTACATATAAAAAAAGATAGATGATAATATTGTGCAGGTAATATGTCAAATGGAATGGATGAAAGTTAATTTTATCACCAATGTATATAACCCAGAATTTGTATTGTGAAATCTTTTACCTGTCTTTTTTTTTGAATTTTTCAATTTGACAATTTTATTTTCTAAATATTTTATCTTTTCTTCCAATTTCTAAAGAGAATGATTATTTTGTAAAGATCGGATTAATATCTACAATATTGACCATAATTGAAAGTTCATGTGCTGTGTTTGCAGTTGTGTTTACCAGTTGCCCGGAATATATTTGGATGTGATTTGTTTAAGGAGTTTAAGCCAGTTGATAGAGAAGTAGTGCCACCGAATAAGCCTTATGATAGGGCTAATTGCTATTTGTGTGGTATACTAAATATTAATGTATTGAAATAAATAATATGATTATACTTGTGTATGGTTTTCATTAGTTTCTTTGAGAGGTGATTGTAAAGATGATGTTTTACTAGATTGTATTAAACAAGTATATATATACAAAAAAATTTTTTAATTCAGTCTGTTTTTTATGTGAACTAGAGTAGCTGTAGTAGTGGCAGTAGTTGTATACAACCACTACCACCTTTAAAAAAAAATAATAATACTTACTCAAAAACTTTTTCGATTTCTTTTTTTTCTTGTCTTTACAGATGGTCATTTTTTAAAAAAAAAAAATTTTTAAAATTAATTAATTAAACTAGAGTGACGACGAGTGGCGGGCAATAGCCACCACCACTATCCTTAAAACGCTTACCCACGATCCTCCGCAACACCATTGGTTTGTTTTCTTTTTCTGTCCGTTCTACCAGACATTTTTAATTTTTTGCATAAGAAATTAAAAATTTTGTTATTTGACGCGTACACACTAATTATTTATCCTATATATTGGTTTTTTTTTTGGTAGGACAGACGCGAATGATTTTTTTTTTTTTTCTTGGAAAAACAATTTATTTTTTGACAGAGTCCAAGATGACAAAACGTGAGTGTTGTTGTTTGGTATGGTTTGGGTCTCCTAAAGAAAACGTGTTAATAACTAACCAGAGGTACTTTTTTTTATTTGTATTGATTGACATTTTTGGTTATTATAAACATTTTAATTGGAAATCAAAACGCGGAGCAGATCTTGCTGGGTAATTACAAGATTTTCATTGATAATAT